GCAGTTGGCGCAGGATAGAGCAGGGTTTAGGGCTGTTGTGCATAGGGTCGCTATGAGTCAGAAACAACTCGACGGCACATAACAACAACAACAACATACAAGGAGGACTTGTTAAAACCACTGTCATTCAAATTTATGCACCAACAACCGGAGAGGAGGAGATAGATAACTTCTACTAACTGTTGCAATCAGAAATCAATTGAACATGCTACCAAGGTACACTAGTGATAATGAGTGACTGGAATGCAAAACAACAATGACATATCATCTCACGTGGGCAACATTAACAGTTTGAATCCATCAGCTTCTCTGTGAGAGAAAGATGGGCAGTCTCTTCCTGTGCAATTAACTTCTCTCAAAACTTACTGGAGGGTCAGCTATGAATCTGTTCTGACTTACAGTACATAACAACAACAATCACTGGAGGAGGGAGCACTGGTAACTAAGTCATAAGGAGTAGCACTGCCAACACAAAGGCATGTGGTTCAAATCCACTAGCTTGCTTCTGTGGGAGAAAGATGGGCATTCACTTCCCGTGCAATTTACTGCCTCTGAAAACCCACTGGAAGGTCAGCTGTGAATAAGTTATGACTCAAAGTTATATAATGACAACAACTAGCTAGAGGTAGAGAGTAGTGAAAGAGAGGAAGACTCTGAATGAGATGGACTGACAAGGGTCTACCGCAATGGACTTGATGATGATGGAGGTCATTCGGATAGTACAGGACTGGGCAAAGTTCCGATCTGTTGTTCACATGGTTGCTATGAGTCATAGCAGATTAGACAGTACCCAACAACAACAACCACAGCTAGAGATCTTAGCATTTCTTCAAGTGTTTGCTGGCCATCTGAATGTCTTCTTTGGTGAAGTATTATCACGTTTGTTAAGATATTGGAGTATATTTTATATATATGTAAATATCTATATTTTAGAGATGAATCCCAAGTCAGATGTTTCATTGTCAAATATTTTCCCCCAATTTGTAAGTTCTCTTTTACTCTTTAGGAGAAGTATTTTAATATGCATTGTTGTTGTTGTTGTTTGTTGTTATGTGCCTTCGAGTTAGTTGCCTGCAACTCATAGTGACCTTATGTACAAGAGCTCTGAAGCCTGCCCTGTCCTAAGCCAGTCTCACTGATTCCAACAAACCTACCCCCATTGTCCCAGTTACAGTATAAATCCATGGCATCTTCCTCTCCTGGGCTATCCCTCCTCCCTGCCGAAAATTATGTCCTTTTCCAAAAATGTGTTCCTCCTGGCCACATGCCCAAAGTATGTGAGGTTCAAAATCCTAGCCTTAAAGGAGGAACTTGGTTTCACCCTCTCCAGGATACACCTATTTGTTTTCTTAGTGGTCCATGGAATGTTCAAAACTCCTCTCAAGCACCACAGCTCAAAGGCATAAATTCTTCTGTCATCCTTAGTCATTGTCTAGCTCTCTGATGCATAGCAAATAATTGTGATGACTATAGCTTGTATCAGGTGCACCTTAGTCTCTAGACTGACATCATTGCTTCTTAG